ACGTTAATTTGTTGTTGTGAAGCTTAGTTTGTCTAGATTGGCAACAAATACACTAATCAGCTAAGTTTAAAATGAAAACAAATATGGCTGCTGTGGTAAAAAAATTAGGCTTAGCCGCAGTTAAACTACTTTTAAACTGTTGCTAATTTTACAACTATAGCATGCAGACTAACTAAAGGCATAAAAACCTTAACCGGAAGAAAAGAACATCATAATTCAATCATTTTTAAAGCAAAAAAATACGCAATTTACAAACATATAATAATAAAGAAACTGAGCTCACTGAGCCGAGTAACAGAGTGGATATACATATATTTATATACTTTTGGTGAGGCCGATTGCAACCAAATTGGGAGGTACATTTCTACATGTTATAGCAGTCCCACATACAAAATTTCAACGTTCTGAGGCTATTCGCTTTTGGAGTTATGCGAGATATATACATACATACGTACGTACATACGACGCACGTATAGAAGCCACGAAAAAATCTCTTCTGAATCTATTTTAAGTCAGTTTTATAATTTGTTTGGAGGAAAAGAGTCCTTTATTCTGACCTTACGTACAGATGTCGCGCAAAAATATCGTTTAATTGCATTCGATAGCGGTCAAAATGTATATTTTCGTTAAAATATAGTACTCGGAATTTCTCGTGATTATAATATTTCCTTTAATTCGTACAAAACAGTAAAAAGACTTCGTACAAGTAATGAAAATACTGTAATGAAAGTTTATTTTTTCCTCTCAAAAACGAAATCTGCATTCTCGAAACAAAATATTATTCTATAATTTTCGTAAAATTTTAATGATATAAGCAAGGTATAATAGTCTGGATAACTCGTTATCACTGTCGCAATCATTTTGAGAATGACCTTAAAAAAGCAGGTGTTACCAACAGGATCTGTACTGAATCCCTGGGGAAGGGTCTATAAAATTTTAAAAGGTGTTAACGATAATCAAGGGTCGACTCAAGGTCAACACCTGAATTTACGATGGCAGATTATCGGAATAATCCCAATCCCATCGCTCACAAATTTAAAAAAAAAAAAAAAAAAAAAAAAAAATCATTAATAAAGTTAATAATTAATTTTTTTATATAAAGCTGTAACATCTAGTATGGAAGAAATCATTTAAAATATATATGGTAAAAACACAATAAAAGTACTTAATATATTTTAAATATCCAAAGATATAAGTTGCTATCGAACCAACGTTATTGACTTTTCCGTCTTCTTACCTAGTGAAAGCAGACCTTAGTCAAGTCAGTAATTTACAACGGAAAATAAAAAAAAAAAAAAAAAATTGAAGAATTTTGAACGAGACGATTTAATAATTAAGTCATGCCATTTTATACCAAATATTAAAAGAACTGCATCAGTTGCGCATTACAGCGCAGCCATCAAACTAATTAAAATCGAACTTTTTTGCCATTGGAATTCATCTGTGATTTTGCTTCTGAAAGTATGTTTATATTTGTAAAATAAAAATTATAATAATCATACATTAACCATTATTAATCAAACATTATAATAAACCTTTGTTTTTTCAAAACTTTTGTTTCTTTAAGTTACTTATATGCAGTTATTTGTATTATGATTGCGATGTACGAGTATTATAAACAAAAATCTCAGGGGGTGGGTGAAGAAAATCACTCCGTTAAACTGGGTGGGTGCAAGAAAAAAGTTGGGAATACGTAACTTTAAAATAAAGTCATAGAATACTTACATTTTAAAAGTTTAATGCCCGCCTCCTAACTTTTTTTTTTCTCAGTGGAAAAACACAAATCAAAAATCTTAAAAATATTTATTAAAAATACATATTGCTTTTAAATAATTAATTTTGTTTTCATTAATGAACTAATTCAGTTTTCACTAAGTGCTGTTACGATTTGAAAGATGTATAATTTGCTTAATTTCACGAACACAGGCAGTTTCTCATTTACTCCTTTTTTCTAATTCACTCAATTAATTCAGTCTCACCTTTCGGCAATGGCTTAATTCACTATTCTGCTAAGTTTCAAATGTAAACAAATATGGCTGCTATGTTAAAAGAAATTAGGCTTAGCCGCACTTAAACAACTTTTAAATTGTTGATAATTCTACAACTATTGCATGCAGATTAACTAAAGGCATAAGAACCTTAATCGGAAGATAAGAACGACATAAGTCAATCATTTTGAAAGCAAAAAAATGCACTAATATATAAGAATGAAAAAAAACCGAGCTCACGGAGCCGAGTAACAGAGTGGGTACATGTATCTATATATATAATTACAAAACAATTTTTAAACAAAATAATATATATGTAATATTTTGGCAGGCAGGCACTGGAAATGATGAAATTTAGCAATCTGGTCACTTCAGAGTCCGGGTGTGGTCAGTGGAAAACATCAGAATTGAAGACACAGAAGAATTTAACTTTTAACTCCATCTCTTTATTCAAAGCAGATGGTAGATTATTCAAAATTACATATGCGAGAGTAATTTGAACTAAATAGTATTAACTTTAAATTGACTGTGATATACTATTCAAACAAAGGGAGATGAGAAGAGCGGCAGCATAAGCCTTAACAGCAGAAGAGGGAGAAAGCGGTCTGACGCAAAATGGCGCTAAGTTACGTTAATGCCCGAATGTTCTCGAAAGTGCTGAACTAGTGGGAAGATCCTGATATTGCAGAAAGTTACTTAGAGGTTGCCTGTTCGCGTAGAGCAAAGCCATAACAAAATACCATACCTGCTTTAAAAATAATTGGAGACCTCAAAATTAACGATTCTAGGTTTGGTGCCCTCTCCTAAATTCATCTGTTCTCCCAAATTTGAGATTCTTCTATGATTATATAACAACTTAGAATTAACCAATCATAGCTTAGAGTACTATTTACATGTACTTGGTGTAACTATCGCTCGCAAATAAGCTGCATCATCTTCTTCTCCTAGCTTCCGCCACGCCAAGATCCACGCTGCTTTGCATGTGCATCTAAAATGATATCGCCCCGTTAATCTGCGTATATAAGAAATTATCGTAATTGTTTATAATTTAAAAAATATATTGTCTACGAAGAATTATTCTAATGTACCTGGAAATAAAGATGGTATCAACATATTCGTCCTGTCTTGTCGCTCTGCTATCCCGACTATGCATCAAAAATATTACATACATATTTATATACTTTTGGGTGTGGCCGATTGCAGCCAAAAATGGAGGTGCAAGTACATGTTATAGCTATGTACAAAATTTTAACGTTCTGAGGCTACTGGTTTTCGAGTTATGCAAAATGCATACATACATAGTAGGTACGTACGTATGTATGTATCTCTTCTGAAATCTCTTCTGAATCTATTTTAAATCAGTTTTATAATTCGTATTGGGAAAAAGGGTCCTTTGTTTTGTCCTTATGTACACATGTCACGCAAAAACATCGTTAAATTGCATTCGATACCTGTCAAAATGAATATTTTCTTTGAAATATGGTACCCGGAATTTTTCGTGATTACAACACTTCCTTTACTTCGTTCAAGAAATAAAGATAAATAGAATTTAATTTGATTGATTTTAGAGGTAGCGTTCTTATTCATCTAAAATATTCTAATCAACCGCTAATTTCCAGAATCTTCCATTTTACTTCTCTTAAAAGAAATTAAATTTAAGCAAAATTTTGTTCTTAAGACAGAAATTTAGATCATTATTATTTTCTGTTGGATCTACACTCATTCCGTTGGATTTGCAAGGTCTTCAGTACACGGGTAAGCTTTTTGAAAAACTGGAGTACCGTTTCAATGAAATTGTCTGTCTCTGAAATAAGTTCTCAGCATGAAAGATTAATGTGAATTTTAATTTTATGAAAGTCTTCCCAAGGTCTCAAAGACGATTTGAAATATAGAACTGCTAGCAGTTTCCCAAAATACCGTTTTCTTTCATTAAAAAAATATATATTGCGCATGTGATGACGAAATTTTAAGTCTTAAATGCTATTTTTTTCAAAATTTTAAACACAATTTTAGAAATAATTCGTAATTATTTTTATCGATGGTTTAATAAATGAAAAATGTAGCAGATAATTTTTCGCTATCGCTGATCACTCATCAGGAAATGTTTAACGAATTTCACAACAATACGAAAGTTTAATAGATAAAAGAAGACCAGTTTAAAAACCAAAGATAAAAAAAAAAAAAAAAAAAAAACAGATTTTGGTTTTACTGAAGGAAATCCCAAGGTCCCTCTTCTTTACGGAGCAAAAATATCGTTAAAGTTCATCTTATATACACATATGATGTACTAAATGATATTTTTGTTGCTTCTTTTAATATATATATATATATAATCGAAACAGAAATTGTAAAGCTAACAAGTAATGAGACGTAAGACCTATTTGGTCGTAAGACCTATTTGGTCTTACGTCTATTGGTAAAAATTGGTACGACGTAAGACCTATTTGGTAAAAATTTTTTGCGCATCCATGTTATAACTGTTCCATTTAAAATCCAAATTACAATCCGCTTTGGAAAAAATATACCTTTATTGTGGCTGTACGTACAGAGGTGACGCAAAAAAGTCGTCCGAATGGATACAAGAACTGCCAAAATGGATATTTCGTTGAAATATGATATCCGAAATTTTTCACGAAATTTCCTTTACTTCGTACAAGGAACTAAAACATGGTTTTTAAATTAATTCAAAAAACTAAAGCCGGTGAAGTTCTTTTTTAACATTTTGTCAAAGATTTGATTTTGTTCAGTTTAATAGCAAAAAATTTACATTCTGGAATTATGTTTTAAATATAAGTTAATGATCAAGGAAATGGAAATGCAGGGAAAACAAAACGCAGTTTCGCAAGACACTATCTACGCATTGTCAGCCTTTACACCCAACAACCTCTTCCGATAATTTAAAATTCAGGTATCAGTTTTACGCGCATTTTCCGATAACAAGTTTTGCGCACGACTCTACTAATGTTTGTAATAGGTTGTATTTTGCTCCTGGCATCCTTTTGCATACGGCACTCCTCCAAAATTGCCGTGTGCAAATCATCTATAAATTTACGCTGGGTAACATTTATTTCTGTCTGACAGTTAAGTAAGAATTATACGAGTAATCAATTGCAGCAACCTATTGAATATCTTTATATTCGCTTTCTGAAATCAGCGGTAAGTATTTCACCAATGTAATTAATCATTTAATTACAATTTGATTTTTCAAAATAAAATACGTATTTTATTTAAAAAATTTTTATGAATACTTTCGATGGATATATTTAATTTTTGTTAATGCAGTAAACAGAATTCAGTAACAGTAAGCATAGTGAAGTTTTCAAAAATAATCTTACATGATATTTATATACCTTTCTTAGGATTAATTTTTTCTTTAAATATTCTTTCATGTAAAGAACACGGAATTTTAAGAAAAGGGATATATTAAATTTAATTTTATATATTCTGCTAGAATTATCTGAAATAAAATGCGTTGTATAAAATCCTTAACAGTCATTCTCTTTGTAAACTTTTTTTTTTTTTTTTTTTTTTTTTTAAATTTAATGTTGAAACTAGTTTTCGCACATTTGTTTAACAAAAATAAAAATATCAGAAGTTTGCTGTTTGCATCATCGGATAGAGGGGAAGCTTTTCTTTAATTTAAATTTATATGAAAATTCTGATAATATGTAATTCATATGTAATTTCAGATTTTATATCTAATTTTTAAAAATTCCAAAATCTAAGCATGCATCTGTTATAAATTTTTGCAATTTTTACACGTTACAAGACAAGTTCTTCAACGATTTTTAAAAAAGGGGAACGATAAAAAGACTTTAAATAGAGGATTTTTAGCCCAAATAGGGCATTAGCAGAATGAGTTGTTATTCTCTAAACGGGATTTGGTGGCGTATCACTTTTCAGACTGTTGCCACGAAATCTTATTGTCCTGTATAACTTTAAAAAAATTAAATAATGAAAAGTCTGCATGAATGTATGTATGTTTCTCGCACTGTGAAAACACGACGGTACCTAGTGCCATCAAATTTTGAATAACGTAGTCCTCCAACCGAACATGGGCCCTTGGAAGCCCGAATTTTATATTTCATATTTTGTAAGCCTTTCTAATTTTTAACAAATTCAAACGTTTGAAAACAAGCGGTAACAGTACTGTATATATTAAAACATTGCTATCTCCAGCGCGCGAAACAGTCTATCGGAAAATCTAAAGGTATGCTGTTTTTTAAATGTTTGTGATTTTTCTATTTCACTGAATTTTATGTGGCGTAAGTGTGAAGAACATTTTATTTAATTAACAAATTTAATACACAAAACGTTAATAATAAAACGACAAAAAAATTTTGCAAGCCATCTTAATAAGAAACCTTTACATTGATATAATGAAGGGAGAAACTGAAAAAAGAAAAAAAAAAAAAAAGAAAAGAAAAAAATGCATGCTAACACTTAACACTACATTCGGAATTCTAAGCGCAAACTACTTTTATTTTTTTTTTTTTTTTAATTTTGCTGTTGAATTGTATATGGCGTTAATGGGAAGAAAGTGATGGTTAATAATAAAGCTAAAAAGACAAAAGGAAATGGATTAGCAGGAGTGAGTGCAACAGCAGACAGGTAGACTGCGAGCTCAGCGAGAGCGTAGAAAAACCTTAACAAACACTTTTGGGCGACCATTAAAATATGAACCCTTTCATATTTTTTTTTTCATATATATATTTTTTAATAATAAGCTTCAGTAAGCAGAAGGAGAAATTCCTTCTTCCTTGGGCTTCATGAAATTTGCTTAGAAACCTTGCCAAAGTTATAATGTTGTTATACTTTATAACTTTTAAAATTTTTCAATTGAGTAATGAAGTTGATAACATGTAATTGAGACTAAAAAGTAAGAATTTTTTAATTTAAAATGCTTTATAAAATAAACTTTGATTTAAAACTCATAAAACGGTAAATATTCTAAAAGGAGATTGTAGGGTTTAGTGGGAACAAGAGATTAAGAAATTGTCTTAACAAAATTCATCTACAATTTTATATCACGAATAATAAAAGTCTGGGCGCCTAAATAGCTTAATCGAATGATCGAATTGCTTTGTCAAAATTATAAACCGTTAAATTTATAAATTTCCCAAACGCGCCCACGATGTTAGTATTCGTGATATAAAACTCTGAATGCAAAGAATACGTAGTTAAATAATTAATTTCTTTCTAGTAATTTTAATGTATTCTGGCATATTCAAAGTCATCCGAAACGCTTTCGTGGAATTAAAATAATCTTCAGTTTAACTCTACAGTCCATTCCTATTAACTCTTTAATTCCGTTCGTGCCTCTGCAGTTCTCAGAAAATGGCAATCTTTACGCAGAAGTAAATTCATTTCAAGAAGTAGAAAATAGTCCACAGAGACCAGATAGGCGAATAAGGCGATTACGCTCTTCTTTGCATTAACTGTTTTCGTATTAATTACATTAGGCAAGTAATATTGCTTCGTCGTGCTATTCTGATTAATATTTGTGCTGCACTTCGGGAAACGTTCCAGAAACTTGATAAAATCAGTGACCTTCATCGCAATTTTTTTTATCTGCTTTTAAATAAGAAATTAATTAAGTATTTCATATAAAGAGTTCGTAGAAATAATTTATTCGGGTGAAAAATTAGGCGTCTTTTTTATTTCATTCATAAAATTCGACAGCATATATCTGCACGAAAATATTGAAGTTTTATTACCATAAATATAGAATTCTGGTATCAGCTAAAATTTATCGTATATTTTCTATTTTAAAATGAAATTTTCTAAAATTCAGATAAATTATTCTAACTAAAGTTAATTTCTTCTAAAGTAATAAATTTACAGTAAACAACGCAGTGTTCTTTCAAATAGGACAGGATTTACTTATGTAGGCACATTAGGGCAGTCTGCTTTAGTCGAAAACTTTCTAAAGGGAACCGGTCACTATTTATGTTACATATTTTCCTCAAAATTCAACAATTATTATGAATGTCAAACGACTGTATAAGACCTAATTCGTCAATGGAAGATGTTTTTTGAATAATTTTGACTGCAGAAAAATGGAAAATGTGGTTTCTTTTTCCAGCAGTTTTGGGAAATAGAAGATATATTTGTTTCATTTTTCTGAACACCTGTCTCATACTCCTTAGTGGAAAATTTCAAGGCCGTCCTTGTTTGAACAATGTATACTGTATGTACTCTAGAAGTTCACATCCGGAATGGTATCTTTAAATATATAATTATGAATTTCATTCATAGGAGAAAACACGACACGAAAGCTAAACTTCTGTAAAAAAAGCGTGCAATCGATAAAAAAAAATAAATATAATAATCGATAAAAAGAGAGAAATGGCTACAGAATATATTAAAAGATCATATAATTTTAATTTAGACAAAAATGGAAATTTAGATTGTCTTACATTTTGAGACACAAGTCCCTCGTCTTCAGGAGCCCCCCCCCAAAAAAAAGTAGTTTTTTCCCAGAATTATTCTCGAAATCGATATTAATTTCAATTATGTGTCTAACTGAAGAAATGTTTTCTACATTTTAGTTATAAAGATATCGTACATTTCACAAATTATTTTGAATTAATTTATGCTAACATGCTATTCATTTCAGATTTTATATTACATTATATTGTAATTGTAAACATCTATAAATTCGCAGTTATTATATTCAATATACATACATATAATCGTGCAAGAAATACGATTTTATTTTCTACGTATATAAAAGAAACTCGTATTTCTTTTGGGCAGCAAAACATTTGTATCATTTTTGAGTTTGCTATAGCAGTACTGCTTTTTCTTAATCAAGGATTCCAAAATTGACCAAAAAATGGTGCAAAAACAAACTAAATCATGAATACACATAGCCAAAAGGGCTAATTATATAACCTTTTAGCCAAACTGCGTTCACCCAAATGGGTTATTAGTCTCGACACGTCCGCTATAAACGGCGAATCATTTTTCGAACTGTTGCCACCAAATTGTATCGCCTAATATTGTTTTTAAATCAATTAAACTAATGAAGAATCTTCATGTATGTATGTGTGCTCTTCGCATTGTAAAAAAACGGAGATACCTAGCGCCATCAAATTTTGAATAACGTAGTCCTCCACTCGATCATGTGCACCTGAATTTTGAATTTCGAATTTTATGTTTCATACTTAGTGAAACTTGAATGAATTTTTGATTAACAAACTTAACGATTTGAAAATGAGCAACACTGAACGGAATAAACATTTTTTTAACTCCAGCGCGCGATTCTATCTAGCGGCAATTCTAAACGCGACTTTTAAGCTGTTTTTTAAATATTTTGTCATTTTTTAATTATATATGGAGTTACGTACGAAGAACATGATATTTAAATACAAAATTTAACACACAAGACGTAAATAATAAAAACACTAAAAGAGTGTTGCAAGCCATCTTAGTAAGAAAACTAAACATTGGTATGGTGAACTAAAAAAAAAAAAAAAAAAAAAAAAAAAAAAAAAAAAAAAGACTTGAAAATATATATAAAAGTGTATGCCAGCATTTAATACTGCATCGAGAATTCTAAAAATATGTGGCTTTTAAAATATTTGTAATTTTGCTGTTGAATGGTATATGCGTTAAGTGCGAAGAAAATGATGCTTAATAACAATAAAGCCAAAAAGAAATGGGTTAGCTGGTGTGATTGTAAGAGCAGAATGGTAGACTGAGAGCTCAGCGACAGTTTGAAAAACCTTAACAAATCCTTCTGGACAATCGTTAAAATCTAAACACTTTCAGGCTTTTGTGTTTCTTTTTATGCTATTAATTCTTACATAACTATTCATTTCCCATTTTTCAGACTTTATTTTCAAACATGTCTGAAGGAAGCAAATGCTGCGATGTGAAAAACAAGAGCGGTGCACCTCAGAAGGAATGCTGCAAAATTACTGTCAATTGTTCTTGCCCCTGCTCCAAGGCCGATGACCAGCATAACTGCACTACCTCTGTGGCCTGTGATTCTGAGTAATTTAGGAATTTTTGTTAATATTACTTTTCGCTCTTATTAAAAATTATTTCCTTATTCCTCTCCAATCGCTTTATTACATTTTTTAAAACACATTTTTAAATTAAGCTATTTTTCTTAAAGATGAGTACCTAATAAGCTTCCCTGAATTATATTTTTGAGAAAATGGTTATATATTATAGTTTTTCTTGATATATAATGCAATTTAAACTCTATTAAAAAGATGTATAAGAAACAAAATATAAATCTAATTTTACCATACGTAAAAATCCATGGAACAATTCAATGAATTTGTTTCAGTAAGCTCCAAAAATTTACGATTTATATACGTGATGTTCATAACTCGCAATTCAGATGCTCCTTATTTATCTGGAAATGCAAACGGAGTGTACTTCAACTTGTTTCTTTGTCAATATTACCATTCTTAAACTATTTCCGTTTCTTCATTAAACTTTTACAAAGTATTGGTAACTATACAATTGAGAATGTGTCAGTTATTTTAAATCTGACGCTACCTTTACATTAATCGCTATTCCTCCCTTTTTTGTGGACTCCTTTCACAAAATCTTTTTAGGTAAACACCAAAATATGAAAAATTTAATGCATAAAGGGTTAGAAATGAATAAAGGTTAGTAAACTGGTGCAGAACCTCAAATTTTACGGAAGGACAAAAAGAACTCATTTCTAAGTTAAAACTCTATGAGTATTACATCTCTTCCCCCTCTTCACGTATTTGTCCAAGTTAAAATGACGTTCTTTTTCTTCTGTTAATTTATCTCATACATGTCATCTGTGAATTTGTAAGTTTTTTTTTTTTTTTAATACTTATGTCTGTAAGCTTTGTGCAATACTATGTGGTGCACAAGGAATTTAAATATTCAATTAAAAAAAAACCTCAAATTTCTAGGTTTTAAGAACTTGAATGCTGATTAAAATAAAAGGTTTCCTAATTAATTCTAGTATCATATAAAAGATTTACAATATTTTGGCATCAAACGAATAAAATTGATACTCGTCAATAGAATTTATTCTGAATTAAAGTTCCAGTAGACTGATATTGAAATTGTAAACACATTAGAATGAAAACTCATTTTCTGTACCATATGTATTATTGTGATTATTAAAAATCGCAAAAAGTTTTAAAGGAATTCGAGTACTCAAAAAATTTTCTCAAAAGGCGAAGCATTGAATTTTAAACGGGAGATTCGCAGATTTCTCTAACAAAATTTCAAATTCGTTCATTTTGGATTTAAAATGTAGGTTTTTAAAATAATATACTAACCTAATCTTATATACATGATCACGCTAATCATACCTTAAAAGGATTTATTAATTTTGGCAGAAATTTCACTTTTTGTGATGATATTTTGATTTGAAACTGAGGATATTTTGATTGAAATGTTAAGGTATTTGAAATCTGAATGAAAAAATAATATTTTGATTCGAAAATTGGAGAATATTACAATTTTGTGTGTAATGTAATTTTAAATTTGAATTGAAATATTTTGATTTGAATTTAATATCAAAATTTGAAAATTTTAATTGAACTTTGGATTTGAAATACGTTATCAAGCGATAATATACGCATTTTTTTATTTAATTTTAAAACTTGTTTCATAAAAAATTTAGCAAGGAAAAAGGTTTTTAGCGACAGCATGAACTTTTATTTATTTATTTTAAATATCTGTTAATTAAAAGAAAGAACATCAATTAAAAGAATCAACTCAAATACGTAGTTATAGAGCATTTTTTTCAAGAAAGAGATTTTTTTATTTCATGTAATTTGCTAACATTTTGAAGTTCTCATCTTCAACAAAATAGATAATTTTTAAAAATTGTATAGTGTTAGTAATTTCCAGATTTGTAAAAGCGTTGTTAATATGATACATAAAATATGAATTACAAAATTTCTTTTGTTTGTTTAAAGCGGGAAAGCTGAACAGGTAGTTGAATGCTGTTGCTGTTGCTGTACCTTGGCCGTAAACTGCACCGTAAACTGTCCTCCTGCTGGTGAAAAGGCTGATGCCCAAAAGTAATTGACCAATTATTATTACATGGCCTTTTTCTTGTTATGTGTTAATAATTTCTGCAGTCTTCAATTATCCGGATATATGATCACCAGTCAACCAGATCAGTTACTATTCCTTTTAGACCGTGATCAAATTAAGCTAGTCATTAATTCATTTTACGGTTTTTAAAAATTTTACGTTGGTTTAAACAATGTTGAATAGCATTTATTTGATTACGATTTATGTTGTTTATATACGAGTTACTATTTAATATTTACAAAGAAATAACATCTTAATTTTAGTTGAATATTGTTGATGTTAATTCATTTTACATTTTTTAAATTTTTTACAATGGTTTAAACAATGTTGAATGACACTTATTTGATATTTGATTTCAATTTAGGTTGTTTAATAACAAGTTACTATTTTATATTTACAAAGAAATAACATCTTACTTAAATTTTAGTTGAATATTGTTTTTGTCTTGTCTATATTACATGGAACAATGGTTGCCAGAGACTAATCCGAAGAGAAGTTGAACTTCTATTTTCCACCCTCAATTTTGAGGTACAGAACTCCGGCGGCGATCCGGGGTGTGATGTCCTCTCCCCTTCTACCAATCCATACGAGAGGACTTTCGGCTCACTGCATATTTGGAGAGTGCCGCCGTGCCGTGCCGACACTATACATTTACATACATCCATGTCTTCTCCGAGATTCGAACCCTGGCCCTTCTGTACCATAGTAGGCTCCTCTCTCTAACCACTATCCCGTCTGGGCAACAATTTTAGTTGAATGAAAATAAGTTTTAATTTCTTTTACTAAAATAGCAAAAAATTTCTTTGTTTAATCTATTATAGGAAAAAAAAAACATGTTTTTAGTTTTAAAGACTGCTCAAATAAACAAAAAATAACACAAATAAAAAACAATTCCATTGTTAAATCATGTTCCTATTTTAAAAAAGTGTTTTGGATCTTAATTTAAGTGAACAAAATTACTCAACGTTTTAATTGTCTGGTCTGTTTAGAAATAAAATAAGACAATATATATGTAACAATAGCAAGAAAAAGGACGGAGCACTCGATGCGTACTTAGATCCATTTTGAAGAATTCTGATTACTTAGTATGCTAATATGTTGACTTCGTAGTATCTAAAGAACTTGGCAGTCGAGGAAGTTTTAATTCCATTTTTATTTGCAACTGACATTTTGTGGCCACAATCACTTGGTACTAGTCGTGCCTTTATACAGAACATTTACATTTTTGATATTATTGCAAAAGCGGTTGATCTTTACAATATGGTAACTGGTAGTTTGGCGACATTTTGGAGGCGATAAAGGTTACTACCTGGGACTTTGGTAATAATGTGAGCAGTACTCAGTCCGATTACGCATTATTTGCGTGAGGGAAATGAAAGATCATGGGATATGTCATGTGTGATATTAATGGACGAATTACGGTTCTTATCGGAAAGGGGAAATCGGGAAAAAATGTGGAAATTTTGTATTTAGCTTTATTCTGTGTTGTGTGAAACAGTGTTGTTTAATTTTGGATCCCATGGCCCTAACTAAAGTGAATTCAAAATGGGTATTTAGGCATTGTGATGAGAAGTTTGCTTTTTATTTAGCGGAGGAAGTATGGAGGAAAAATTCGCAGAAAAAATCTTTCAATAATTTTATTGAATGAATTAGAAAAGTGTATCCGCCACGTAATCAAGATTCTGAAGAAGAGTAAGTTAGTATTTTTAATTATTTGAGGATATTATTTTCATGCATTGTTCTAAATGTAAGGTGGAAAGGAATTTGGTATTATTGGGAAAATTGTTATTAGCAATGATTTAGTTTAAACTAATTAGGATTGTAAGGTAATTTTTATTAATTTAATGTATGTGCTCATTATATTTTAAGTAGTGTTTTTGAATTTATTTATATTTTTGAAATGATGTTATTTTGTGATTTTATGTTGTAGGAATTGGGTATACGTTTTAGTTGAAATAAACGTGCATGGAAATAATTTAAATATTTAATACTAAGTATTTGTAATGCTTGCGGTATGAATTCGTGGTGACGTGTATAATGTAATAGATGATTAGAGGTAAAGTTTTTGGATATTTTGTTTATTTTATATGTGGAAATGTTCATATTTGTAAAGGGTAAATACTTTTTCGCGATCAGGTAATTTCATATATGTTCTTTTTACCGGGTTTTAAAGATTGAGAAAATTGTCATGTATTTTTGTGAAATTTTTCTAATTTATGAGAAAAAAGCAGTGTACATGGATATAGTGAAGAGTGTGCGCAATGCCATTTTTGTGCAATTCTGGGATGTTTTTTTAAGTAAAAATAAGTCGCCGTGTACATGGTTTATGTGTATGTGTTATTTGAAAAAACGCGTAAGGAGTATGGTATTGTGCACTTTTTCCCAATTTTTGCAGTGAATATTTGTCATGATTAAGCAGTTTTGTTTGATAAAATTTCTAGCATAAGTGTAATTGGGCTACTAGATTTTTGGAAGAAGTGTTCAGTAGATAAAAAGAAAAGAAACATGTCTTTACTTCGTGAAGACAAAATGGCGGCGGGAAAAAAAAAATAGAGGGTTGCTGTAGGAGAGTTGGTTGCCAAATTTTCGCCAAAAAATCGCCAAGTTACCATAATGTAAAGATCAACCGCAAAAGCAATCAAGGTAGTGAAGTAACATCCCAGCAGGATAGAGAGAGAAGCTGGAAGTGCGTCGTAATGCAAAATGGAAGCACACGAAGAGAAAAGTTTTGGCTTAAAGTTTGAGTTCCCAATTATTACGTGATCAGCGCTGCGCAGACCATAGAATGATCTAGAAATGACGCAATCCAGAGAAGTTATTACGATTTTTAAAACAGAGAGGGAAAATTAAAGAGTTAGCTTTAGTTTAAATTATAATTTTGATTCACATATTTTATATATATATATATAATAAAAATATATATAATTCCTTCACTTTTCAAGGAACAGAGGAGAAGAAAACAACCCAATTATCCATATTTTAGGATTACCAGAATAAGGTGTGGTAGTTAATTTGAATAAGAGCTCTTCTATAATAAATTAAAACATTTAAAAGCTTTATGAACTTAAATTTAAACATCTATCTTGAGTTCTATTTATAGGTAAAAATGAAGCTGAGTTAATGCAAAACGAAATGAGACCAAGCCATGTAACTGAAAAGCAAATCAGGAAGTTTATTTATTTATTAGTTAGTTCATAGTCGCAAAGCACTCCACTGGAAAATATTTTATCAGATGAATATCAGATCGGTTACAGAAGGTTTCTGTAATCAGCATGAGAGTTTCTATATCATTCTAGAACACTACCAAATATCTAATTTCAAGAGAAAATTTTAAAGTAAATTTTTAATTTGGAGTCAGAATAAGGGGCTTGAAATCGCTTTGTGTAATAATAAATGTGAAATTTTAAATTACAGAACGTTGTGAAGTAAAACGACATAGTTTATTGAAAGATTTAATTGAAGTACGTGGATGAAAGTGATTGTTCTATTTAAGGGGAGAGGCATGAAATGTTTTTAACATTGTTTTTATTATTTAGCTTTCCCCAGTAAGAATATGATTCTTCTAGGGAAAATAATCATTGATATTTATAAAATTTATTTAAATATAATAGTTTCCAGAAATATAAATCTACGATTACGACTGAAAATCCGAAAAGAAATAATTGTATAAAGTGAAGATTTCTGAAGATCAAAATCCGAAAAGCTGTGCAGTTTGTTGTCGAAGAAGTAAAAAAAATTATCATTTATCAGTTTTTTTATTTATTGATAGAACGTTTATCAGTAAAAACGTGACTTATCACTAAACAAATTCCAGATGAAATCGATAAATGATAAATTATGTTTGACTTTTACGATTCCGCTAGATAAAGATTTCCTAATTTTAAAAACCTTTTTTTTTTATTTCGAAATTCTAGTAGTAGTTATTACTTCTAGAGTTGTTCATCTGCATTTCATATAGAAATTTTCATGGATTTCATATAGAAGTTTTCGTGTATGAGCCATATTTGCTAGATTTAAAAGTTTAATATGAGAGTTTATAATGCGACTTGGGAAAAATTTACTTATCAGCTTTGGATTAAAGCATTTGTTAAAAATGATATGCAAAAGTAATTTCCTTCGCGTATTTGTAAAAGAATTATTTCATGGCTTGTTTGTACAGCAACCATTTAGTAAAACTATTTCTTCATAAACCAATATTCTAAATAGTCTAAATTTAGCAAAGAAAAATTAAAAATAAAATAAAAAATATGAGATGAAGCAATTCTTTCTTCTCAAATACGACCGATATCTGTGAGTCGTAAATTTGCAATGCGAGCTGTGTTCGTTTGCGCCCACTGTGGTGCGTAACTGGGTTTACTGCTTGCCATGATAAGGTTAAATTCATTTAAAAAAAAAAAAAAAAGTTAAAAAAAAATCTGAAAGCTTTTAGATTTTACAATGCGCCCAAAGGGGCGATTTTTTAACGTTTTGTGTGTTAGATTAATTTATTTAATATCATTTTCTTCGCACTTAAACCGTAAAATTCAATTCAAGAGCAATGTCGCAAAATAATTTTAAAATGAGCCTATCTTTAGAATTCCCGATACAGTTTCGCGCGCTGGAGATAAAAATATCCCCCGTACAGTGTTGCCATTGCTTGCTTTGAAATCGTTGAGCTTGTTAATCAAAAATTCGTTAAAATTTTACAAAACAGAAAATCGATAATAAAACAAATTCCAAACTCAAAGTTAGGTCTTCCAGATGCCCATATTTGGTGAAAGATAACGTTATTCAAAACTGGATAGCTCTAGGCACCGTTTTTTTATAACAATGAGTGAAATATACCTATTTATGCAGATTCTTCATCATTTAATTTCTTAAAATATAACGCAGGGTGATAATATTTGGTGGCAATAATTTGAGAAGTGAATCAACGTTTATAGTGACGAACGCAAAATACCAAAACGAAACTAATAGTCCTCGTGGACAAATTGCCCCTTTGGACTAAAAATCAAATTATTTTACAATATTGTAGCGAACATTATTTTTTTCTACCGAGTGCATGGTGGCTCAGCGGAGAAGAGGAACGGAAACCTAAAGTCCCGAGTTTGAAACCCACCCAAGTCAGATCAACTAAAAAGTTAGTTTTTATTAAAATTTCATCCCTGTTAATTTATTTCTTTTATTTTTATTTATTTATGCCTTTAGAAAGCTATTTATTGGAGAATATTCTCCATTTTTTGGAACGTTCCAAATCGTTCATCAAAAGTATATAAGTGGTTCTTTATACAGTTCCGGACAAACCAAAATAGTGGTTAATGACTATCACTGCCGCACCGTTGGGCTCAGGTTCGAACTAAGAAGGTTTGTAAATAGTGTCTGTGCGGCATGGAGGCACTCTAAATACGCGATGGGCCGAAAGCCCTCTCGAGGGGTTGGTGGCAGGGGAAGAAAGGTACAGGTACAGGTAGAAGCTAGGCCAGCACCTCCGTAGTACCACAGGTAATTGAGGTATTGCTGAACCTAGCTAACTGTTAAACTTTCCACCCCAATTTTGAGGAAGAACACCCCGTGGGTGGTCCGAGGTTCTCCCGCCCCTCTTTTTTTACCATCAACCACTTGGGAGGACTTTCTGAGATAAATGAGTTCTGGTATTAATAGTGTACACAAATCATATTGAGAAAAGACTGTCCTTGAAAAGTTCAACAAAGAGACCCTCAGATCCTTCCTCCCAGGGTGCTTTCTCTCAAAACTGGGTGCAGAACTGAGCTAAAGCCGAGCAGCATTAGGTGCCGCACAGACACCTATATTCTGCTCAAGGCTCTTACCAACGACAGGAGTATACGACTCCTTGTCACAATGAATGCCGCTGGCTTGTGTTGCCTGTGTCAGACAAGTGAGATTGGTAACAACAACAAATTCGAATAATATCTAATCGAATAATAATCGTCCGTATATGTCTTGGATTGAAACTTGAGTATTTTCCTCTTCATTTGTACGATCACTTCTTCTACGCGACAATATCATTTAATTCGAATTATGCCCTGCTAAAAATAGATAGAAAAAATTCATTTTATTTTTATTAAAATTAATAAAAGTTAGTAAATATTTCTTAATAAAATATTTTACTAAAGAACAAAAGTGTGAGGGAAATATACCTGAATATACAATAAATAAATAAATAAATAAAAATAAAAAAATAAAAATAAAAATTAAGACATGAAATAAAAAAATATTATTCTTTGTTTCACACACTTATATATAAGAATTTAAATGTTGATGCATTCACATAGTAGCAGTCATCGAGGACAGTTGAACATTTGTTTCATCTTTAACATGTGCAGCTAGAAATAACTTGGCACAAAAGGACCGCGGTTCCTCGTGAGTTACTTCGATAACTTTTGAATTTTGGAAAGGCTAAGGCAAGTGCATTTTGATAAGTTAATTTTAAACTCCCAAAATTATTATTGGATGAAGCCTTATGTAATTATCTGCGTCATTAGCGTTATGCAAGAATTATGTGACATGGATTAATTTTGAAATAATTCAGTTTAGAAAGATTTATTGTAGTTACTATTTTTTAGGACAGAAAGGGGGACCAGATTAAAACAGAGAGTTAAGGGGCTATTGAAAATAAAAATTAATTTCTTTTTTACATATATTTTATCTTACCGATATCTGATATGTCTTTCATTTGATGTAACAAATAAGATAAAAAAATAATCAAAACTTTGCCATATTTCTATCCTTTTGACAGAATCTTCGCATGTTCTGAGATCACCAGCGGCCGACAGGTAAAGTCGCTGAACACTGGTAGTTCGGTCGGAGGTTTGAATCCCACGAACGGGATGGCTGCATGGGCATTTTTGTGGTTTCACCCATGTGTAACGTAGCCACAAGCCAGTTTCTCTTAAAAACCGTCCATAAATGAACCTCTGCCTTTGGTGAATACCATTGTGTGCGACGCCGTAATCACTAAGAGTAATTTAACCGCAATAAATGATATTCCCGGGTTAAATAATATAACTGAAAAGGCTGATATTTAATTGAATCCTCATGTACGCGTATAAGAGTCAGGTTTTCCTTGGAAATTTTTTTCCCAAATGCTTTCGTGAAGAACTTTCTAAGGGTAATCATATTGTAACCGTTCCTCACTTTAGGCAGATAGCCTTCGAGTGCTTTGCCATTATCAAATAAACCTCGTATGTTTTGAAGCGTAAGTAGTAAAATAGGAGTTTCCGTTTGGCATGGAAGCGCTTTCAAAATAATTCCAAAAGGAAACGTTACAGGGCATAAGATTTGGGGGGATTTAAAACGACATTTAAGGAGCATCAAATAATCCAGACTAGTTCCCTTATTCCAACCTTGAATGGTTTGGTTTGGTTTATTTAATTACGGCAAAGCACTCGAGGGCTATATGCCTAAAGGGATGGATGCCTTCGTGGTGAACTTTCTAAGAGAAACTGGCTTGTATCCACGTTACACATGAGGAAAGTTATAAAAACGCCCATGCAGTCAGCCCGTTCCCCGGGATTCGAACCTTGGATCGAACTAGTATCAATGTTCAGGGACTTTCCCGTTCTGCCGTTGGTTGACCCCTAACATCGAATTCTTTTTTTTTTTTTTTTTTAAAGGCACTAGATAATATTCTCAATTTCTGAAATTTCCTATTTGAGTTGATGCATATCAAATTAATATGCAGTTAATACGTTTGTAATGATAATCATGGGAAATGGAATTCAGTTATTTGGCAAAACTCTCAGCCCATTTGACTCTAACTGGAAACAAATACAGCGTATTAAAAAAAAAAAAAAAAAAAAAAAAAAAAAAAAAAAAAAAAGATTTATTTTAGATTACGATCGAAAAGTAAATGGCAACAGAAGAGGATTTTCTACTATCGTGTAAATGCAAAAAATATTTGGAACTGCAATACATGTCGGATAAGACTGCTCCAGTAATTTCACACATATAGCATTTGAAATAAATTCCTCTCAACAACTGGCTTCATAAGATAACTTCAGCAAGTGCGGCAATTATTCTGAGCTCTGCTCATTAATGTTGGCACTAACTTGGTTTTCTACAAACTTCCACGAGAAAAAGTTTTATTGCGAATGCTTGTAAAACACGGTGTCCATCTATGAAGTGCCCCTCAAAGAGTCTAGTTGCCTATAAAGTGAATATCGAAGTATAAATTTAACTTTTTCTGGGAGTGGATACTTGTATAGGCAGCTTGCAACATTTTCCAGGAACGCACTTTTCGAGGTAACTCGTTGTGCACCATTTTTTAATAATGCACTTGTCAAGACAACTCATGAAACTCTCAACGTTTTCTAGAAACGCATTTTCGTAAAATAGATTAAGTGGGTGGATTTTCACTCGCAAACTTTTCAGAAAACCAAAATGTTGCTGCTAACGTGTTGTTCCACCAGTCAGAAGTAAGAATACGGTATATCAGAACCTATTGTGAGTTCAGTTGACGTTTAACAAGAGATACCAGCTGAAACAGTAATCTAATTGTAAACGAATTGAGACAGAAAAATTCCAGAAAACCTCCCGATTGACTTAATATTGTGGTAAACTTTCGTGAATCTGATAGGGCTTCTTACGTCTCTCTAATGAATAGGAACCCCTTCTTGTTTGGAATTAAATATCCAATACGGTCTAGTAGTTAACTTTGGGTTTCAGTTGGCGTTTAACAAGAGCTACCAACTGAAAATAGTAATCTAATTGTAACCGAATTAAATTAAAGAAAACTTTCCGACTGGATATTGTGGCAATCTTTCGTGAATATATAAAGCTTTCTTACGTTTTTCAAATAATGGGTAGGCACCGCTTCTTGTTTGGAATAAAGTGTCCATTATGGTCTAGTGGTTTAATTCTAACACTAAGTATCTATGATGATTCCTAGATTCCCATTGTGATGATACTTTGAGCCATCAAAAGTCGCTGTTTTTATATGGTGTGAGAGGTAATGCTATCTGCAGCAACAATAAGGAACAATGTTAAGTGCTTAAAAGTTGAATGTTTTGTTTCAATTTTTGTATCAACTTCTATAAAATTCCATTAACTTTTGTACATCTTCCACCGTACTGCGTATTCCTCATGAAAGAACATTTTCAAACTGCGTTCTCCTCTGTAGGACATTTTCAAACATTCTGCATTATTGTCAATTAAAAAAGTTATGTGACCAAAATTTAAATGTTTTCGTCATTCTCGTTTGATACCCAGTCAACTTTTATACATCTTCTGATACTTTAGCAAAGTGGAAGATATCTAATAGAAAGGTCAACCCTTTTTTAAATCCTGCCAATGTATTGTTGGTTTCCAGGTACCAATTTGAGCTATTAGTAACCTTCCTGTTGTTTCAACTACTGTAGTCTGTTACTTTAAAATAAACACTTCAAGGTCGTATCTATCCTCCCTTTACGATAGTAACGTATGGCACCACCATCGCACAAGGAAACCTGGGAGATTTTAGAAAATTAGAGGACTCGATCCCTTTTCCTCAACAATCGTTACCATGGTTCTGAGGCATGATTTGTAAGGAAAATGGCCTTGAACTCTCTCTTTTAAAGTAACAGACTGTATAATGCATGCCCCGTTTTATAAGTTCTTTCTTTATTTATTTCAGCGACGAGAATGAAAAGGTGTGTCAGGTTACCGTACGCTGCAAAGCAAAGAAGAGTGAAGACAGCTGTTGCACAGTGACCCTCACCTGTTGAAAACCAATGTATCGAAGCTGCCGCTAATTTTGTTAATATGAAAGCTCCAATCATAGCTGTAAAGGTGTAATTGTTTATAAAATCACCAAAAATTATAAAGATGTTTATACTACCCTATTTTATTTAATAAAATAAAAAAAAATTAAATGTCTAAAAAAAAATTTATGCGTACCTAATTATATTATACATAATTATATTATAATGAATACTGTGATAACAATAATTTACTCCCCGATTTCTAACCTGAAATTTAGAAGCATACGTTCTTGTTATGCTAGTTTGTTATAATGTAATAAATACTTTGATTTTGGGAACATTGTATGATAAATAAAGAAAATTGTTTACATTCGAATGCTTTAAGTAAGTCTCTATGCCACAAATTTCATACATTTATAATGCAAAGAAAAATTCTATCATTATCTATTACAACTAAAACAAATTGGATTTTTTTTAAAAGTGTGTTTTATCTGTTGGTAATGTTCAAATATTCGCTGCTAATGTTTTAAAAATCTTCTATGCATACTATCATTATATCGAACAAATTCTATTCAGCATTGTCAAATATGTAATAGTTATATTAATAGCAGGTAATTACAGAACTAGCAGACAAAGGTATATATTAATAACTTTTAAATGAAAATGAATTGATTAAAATTATATTAAATAGATTAATAACATATTCATTGGTATTTTTGCATCAACAACATTAAAATTAATGAAAATAAATTGATTAAAATTATATTAAATAGATTAATGACATATTCATTGGTATTTTTGCATCAACAACATTAAAATTAATGAAATAAATTGATTAAAATTATATTAAATAGATTAATAACATATCCATTGCCCTTTTTGCATTAACTGCATTAAAATTAATTGATTAAAATTATATTAAAAAAGATTTATGACATATTCACTGTCTTTTTTGCATTCACTACATTAAAATTAATGAAAATGAATTTATTAAAACCATATTAAATACATTTTTGATATATTAATCGCCTTTTTTGCATCAACTACATTAAAATTAATGAAAATGAATTGATGAAAATTACATTAAGTAGATTAATGACATATTCATTGTCTTTCTTGTATTAACTATCTTAAAATTAATGAAAATGAACTGATTAAAATTTTATTAAATTGACTAATGACATATTCATTGCCTTTTTTGCATTAACTACATTAAAATTAATAACAATGAATTGATCATGCATTAAAAATTGAAATTTACATAAGGGAAAAACTTTACTTTCTTACATAATGTTAAAGTGGTGATATCTAATAATTTTTAAATATACTATTATGTAAAACAATTTATCATTTATAGAATAATAAATCAATAAATAATTAAGATTAAACAATAACCCATAAATGGTTATTATTTTACAATTACTGATAATACATATTTATGTATTAATTACAGATAATATTTTTTGAACGTTCAGAAAAATAATATTGAATACTAACAAAATTTTCTTTCATTTCTTCAGACTACATTATAAAAGCAAGAAATTCACAAATTAATTCATGTTCTTCCTAGCTTCAGAAACGTGAATATGAGCCAGTTTTTTTATGAAAATATCCACAGACACCCTTAATATTTCAAAGGTTTCACCATACTCAAGAAACTTAAACTAACTTTCGTTTAAAAAAAATTTGAATTGATGTTTTATCACAATTTGAGGGGAAGAGAGGTAATTTCTAAAATTTTGAGAAAAATTAATTTGTTAAAATGTGAGAAATGTGATGTTAATGGCAGTTTCTCATATACACAGACAGTCTCAATGAAGCAAGATTAAAATAATTAAAATCGAATTAAGTGCTTATTAAGATTCACGACTTGCAGATATGTACAAAATTAAATTAGAATTTACAGCATTCTCTCGTGCATATGCCGCACTTCCCCCCTTCCCTCCAGAAAAAGATGAAAATCTGGATCCAAATCGGGATCCACTTTATACACGCGAGTGTTTCAAAACAGGTACATTTAAAGATGTAGCAACACAGCCAGGTTTCACATGCTACCTTTACCTACTCTCACAGTAGTATTCTAGGTTTGTTCGCAGAAATATTCATCAACGATTTGTTCAAATTTTAATTTTATTGTTCTGCATATATTGTAATTTATTTTAATTTTGGAGATGTTTTCTTGCCCAAAATATAAAATACCTGGGATCCAAAGTTCACATCTGATCAAAATGTAAACAAAATGCACTGAAACATTGTTACAATGTGGAAATAAATCCATACAAAAGTAAACTTACACTGCAAACCGAAGAAGTCTGATATTCTGGGACAAGAATATTTTTGCTAATGTTTAAACAGTTTTAAAAAATTCGTATTAGGTGAAACTACATAAAAGTCTAAAAAAAGTCGCTTCATATTATCATAGCGGCACAGACCCAATGGCAAGAAACTCGCTGCCTTGTTTAAAAACATCTGTATGATATTCATCATAATTACGTCACCGTGGCATGATAAATAAATGGGTCTTGATCCTCGAAGCTTCGTCGAACAGCCAATACAACTCGAGGCCTAAAATGTTTCGAAACCTATGGGCTATACTACACGTTACTCTCTCAGTTCAGTGTGTGTGTATGTGTGTATTTAATTATGGCAAAGCACACGAGGGCTATCTGCCTAAGGGGAGGGATGCCTTTCGTGGAGGACTTTCTAAGGGAAACTGGCTCGTATATACGTTACACATGGGGAAAACTACGAAAACGCCCATGCAGCCAGCCCGTTCGCGGGATTCGAACCTCAGACCGACTACCAGTGTTCAGCGTCTTTACCGCTCGGCCGCTGGTGGGCTCTCTCTCAGTTCAGACTTATATCTTTTGCATGTTTTCTGAAATATATCGCTTTTTGCTAATTGAAATATTACACAGGATGTTTATAAATGAATGGTGTGGTTTTAAAAATTAAAAATAATAATAATAATTTTTTTTTAATCTGAAAGATTTCAGATTTTAAATTGCGTCCAAAGGAGCGTTTTTTAAACATTTTGTGTGTTATCTTTATTTATTCAATATCATGTTCTTCGCACAAAAATCATAAAATTCAGTTCAAGAGCAATATCGCAAAATAAGAAATTTGAGAGAAATTTTTCTTTTTCAATATAGCAATTCAAGTTAAAAAATAACAAATCAGATTCTTTCGTGTCTTCAACAAATAATCAACAAGCGTAGAATATTTACAACAGGAAAATTCATTTCTATGATTTTAATTATTTAGCAATTCCTTCGAACAAGAATTCCCCATGAATTTAGAAAAACAAATACTATTTGGAAAAAAATGTTAGAGAGGGAAAAAGAATGTATTTTAATTTTGCAAACTTAATTCACTTAATAAAGTAAAGTTTTTCCTAGTAAAGTAAAATATTTCCTTCTCTCTCATTACGTGATTTTTATAAAGACTTTTGTTCTCATTTTTTGTAAAGAAAATTTTCTTCAGCATACGTTAAAAAATTATCATTCTATTCTTGACATTTTTTAATGCACAGAAAGCCTCAACAGCATATTTAAGTAGAGCTGATACAATAAAAATTTGAATCCATTAAACGTTTTTAAATATCACCAATAGATGGCGACACTAAGCAAAAAAAGGAGCATGAGCTTCAGTGTAACACAAAAGAATTGCGGTTTGGTCTTTCAACAGAAGATAATTTAAACAACTTTGATTATCGTTTAAAAGAAAAATAGTTAACTAATTTAATTTAAAAAATTTTGCCTGCTCCAGAAATTTCTCGTTTTGTGTAGGAAAAAGTAGAGAACTGTGTATCTAATTATAACTAAATTATGAGGTCATTTTTATGATTAAATATCCGTAGAGCTTATACTGATATTGTACGAAATACGATTCTCTTGAATCAGGGGCATTATCAGAAAACAAAACAAAACAAAAAAAGACTTTTAGACCAATGGTTTCTAAGGTGTGGATACAGAGAATATCTTTGGCGGTGTAGAAAACAATTTTTAATTTCATAATTTCTTATTCTGTAATGTTATGCACCTACCTTTATGAATTAATTTATAATTATTATGAATTTATATTTATTATGAACTAATTTATAATTATTGTGAATTAATTTATATTTATTATGAACTAATTTATAATTATTATGAATTAATTTATTATTTCTTCCTTATTGCATTAATTTCGCCTAGGAATTTCCCTTTTTGCCATTTGCCACTTAGGTTTTTATTTTATTAATTTTTATTTTAATGAGACTCTTTGTATGGACTGCGAGATATCGCAATCAGCGCATATCCTGAATTTTCACACAGAACATGAAGTGTTTCAAATAATTTTTCTTAAAATTATATTCATGAATTGAAATTATTCGAATATATATATTGCATTATATATATTTGAAAGTTGGCTGTAGTATTGGCATATTAATATTGATAAATACTAAATAGCTTATTTTTTTTTAATTACACAACATGCAAATTTAAAATTAACTAGCTTTTATTCCCACTTCGAAATCTCAGTCAGATTTCAAAACAATTTTATCGGTAAACGTCTTATATTTTGAATTATATTTGCCTTGCTTTGCACATATACCGAGGAAGTTTAAACACTTTCAGAACGAATTTCATAAAGAATTTTTTTTAAAAACTTCCTGACCCCTCCAATATTTCGCTGTGTAACCTCATTTGGGATTGTGATTCACAGTTTAAATTAAATGCTGCTTTTGTCTTATTTTCCAGGAAGCATTTCAAGAACTTTTTATGCCCTCAAACCATGCCTTATAACCATGGTAATAACTGCTGTAGAGAAAAAGACCTGCCAGAATTCAGCAACTTCTTAGGTGCAGTGATGATGGCACACGTAACTATCATAAATGAGGGGAGTGTCGATACATCCTTGATGTGCCTGTTTCAAGGTACAGACTACAGAGGATTTTCCCACATTTTTAGAGCGAATTCAGGACCGTTTAATTAATGTTTAAAATGCAAACAGTATTCTCATAAATATTCGATCTTATAGCCTTTTTTCTCTAGAACAAATCTGAATCAAGATTTACAAAATAGAAAGATTTATCATAAAATTTTCATAGGTATTTATTCCCATTGCTTTTGCATTACTTTCCAAAGTACATCAGTCATGGTAGGTTTGCGCTTAGAAAAAGTTTTTTTCAAAAGACCAGAGGCAACATAGTCCGTAGGTTAAACATGCAGGCCTTCACAGGAGTAAGTTGAAAAATTTATCTGTGCAATACCTGTTTCAGTCTTCATTTTTTCAAGGAATGCAGTGGTACTTTTCGAAGTATGACTTGTTTGGTCTTGATAAACTTGAATTCATTCAGTAAATATCGGAGGTAAAACTTCCTCTTGATATTGC